GCCACCACCACGAGTGGCCTCCCTCTGCAGGAGGTGACCTGTGGGCCAATCAGGGGACGGCACCAGCAGGTGAGTGGCTGGCCCCGACCCCCATCACCCTGCTGCCTCCCCTCGCCCTCCCCATCGCCGTTCCCTCCCTCTGCCCATGGCACCTGCCTTAGCTGGCCTGTGCCGCCCCTCACCAGCCCCACTTTGCCCACTGGTTTTTCCGCTGTTTGGTCGATTAGCATATTAGGCTTTTATTATATAGGATGCTCTAACCAGAAATCTTCTATTCCTACTTTCTATCAATATATATATTTTAAAAATATATGTTTTTATTTATTTTGCAGAGAGGAAGGGAGAGGGAGGGAGAGACAGAAAATCATCAATCAGCTGCCTCCTGCAAGCTCCCTACTGGGGATCAAGCCTGCAACTAGGGCATTGCCTGGAGTCAAACTGTGACCTCCTTATTCATAGGTCAGTGCTCAACCACAGAGACACACTGGCTAGGCTCTATCAGTGTCTTTAGGTCTGTTTTGTCTGAGCCCAAAGCTATAGGTGACAGGTGTGTGTTTTTTAATTCTAAGATGTAAAATTATTTCCTTCTAAAACCATAATACTTTATTGAGCTAATCTAGTGTTAGTTATTAGAAATACCATAATTTGCATTCCCATTGCTACTTCAGTGACTATTTCATTATTTTCAGAAACTATTAAGAAGAATGCAGAACATTTGGGAGATTTTATTAGCACAGTTATATATGTATATTATATACTATATACCAGTGGTCGGCAAACTGTGGCCCCTTGAGTGTGGCTCTTCCACAAAATACCACTTACGGGCACAGTGCGATTGAAACTTCGTGGTCACACTCAAGGGGCCAAAGAGCCGCATGTGGCTCATGAGCTGCAGTTTGCCGACCACTGCTATATACTATTATATATTATATGTTGTATTGTTACATGTTACCTGTTACATGTTATATACTTTATATATATAATCAACAAACAAATCTATAAGACATGTGAATAAAACTGTCATTCAACCAAAGATCAAAGAACCAGGCCTGTCAATAGATGCACCTAGACTTAGGATGGAGTTATGTCCTGACAAAACCCATCATAAGTTGAAAATATAAGTTGAACATACATTTAATACACCCAACCTACATCACAGCCTGGTCTACCTTAGGTGTGATCAGAATACTTATTAACCTACGATTGGGCAAATCCATCTTGCTGCCACTGCCCAGTTCATGAGAGCATCATACCACAAATCCCTAGCCCAGGATATTGAAAGCACAGTTCCTACTAAACGTGTATCACTTTTGCACATTCATAAAGTCAAAAAAGCTTAAGTCAAACCATCAGAAGTCAGGACCATCAGGATAGTCATTTACTAACTGAGCTTTTTGGCTCAGGTCAAAACTCAAGACGAATGTTCTGGCGTGCATACTTACTCATTTATGTGGGTTTGGTTTTGTTTTTGTTGATATATGAAAAAGCTGTCCATATTTGATGTATGCAGCTTGATGAGTTTGAAGATAAGCACACACAATGAAACCATCACTAAAATCTATACCATAAACATATTTATCAGCTCCAAAGTTTCCTTCCATTCTCTGTATTTATTATTTTTGTATGTGTTTGATAAGAATACTTAAAATGAGGTCTACCCTTCCTGCTAATTTTTAAGTGTACAATTCAGTATTTCTAACAACAGGCACCACAGTGTGTAGTACATCTTTAGGATTTATTCATCTTGCATAAATAAAACTTTGTACCCTTTGACTAATACCTCCAAGTTTCCCCTTCCTGCAGCCCCTGATTGGTAACCACCATGTGTTTAGCCATAGTGTAGAAAATAAACCTAAGACATGGTTTTGTCTCCTTTGAAGTTTGTGAACTAAATAAATGAGCATGTCTTATTGATGCAGATCATGATTGTTTAGGCACGCATATTATCTCGTTGGTTTAGTTTTACAACGTAAGTTTTAGCAGCAGTGGTATTGAATCCTCATTATCTGTGTTTATACTTTGGTTTATCATATTACTAATGTATTATATTTTTTTAAATTTAAAGATGCTTATGTATTTTCCTTTTGTCCCAATACCAATACTTCTGGGGTATATTTTAGAAGGGGGCTTTCAGACAACAATGATCAAAATAGTCCATTATATATGAAATTTCATTCCTGATCATTAGATGAAATAATTCAAAACTCATTTTCTATTTGGGAATTTATATGCCTTTAGATAAGGAAATCTTGACCAAATTAGAAATTTAACATATTAACACTAATAAAGGGTGCCAACCTTTGGATATGCAAGAAGGTAATCCTTGAATTACAAAATATATTTTTAAATTATGCTATGAAAATTTTCATTTTATCAAATAGTTCTTCCAAGTAGACCCTTCTAGGTTATATTTTAATTAAAATTTTAATTGAAAACTTACACATTTGCAGTTTATATGTTTAATTTTTATTTCAAGTATTCTGACATTTATTTTTAAGTCATTATTTCATATGTGATCCACCACATTGTTTACACTGCATTTACCATTTTATATAAGTATAGTTTTGGTCTCCATCAGCCATTTCTGCACAAGGATTTTGGAAGAAAAGAATAGAAATAATGACAACTCTGTGGCTCATTTGGGAAGAATACTATTTAAATTTGTTCTTAATGTACAGCTGAAATTAATCTTGATTTCCCATCAAATGTACAGGGATTTTACAATACAGTTCATAACAGTGTTTAATTCCTCTAGAGAGCAAATTAAGATAAACAAGTCACTGACAGTGTTTATCTATAAATATAGCAGATGGTGTGGGACTGAGGTTGGTTATTAAGTCTGACGACTTTAATTTCATGGTTATAAAACACTTTAAACCTCACTGTTTATAAAAGGCTGGGGAAGAATCTCCAATGGGCTTCAGTAGCCAAGAAACCCTCTGTAACATTAATCTCTCTCACTGATATTTGGTATCCTCCTAGGGTGCAATATTAAAGATTGTGGAGTGATTGCTAGACACTTTAAAATTTTCACTGGGATCATTAGCTAGCATTTCTGTCATTGATCTATTAGAACCTTGTTAATGAGTTCCATGTGAGTGAAATTTAGTGAATGAGATGATTCTTTCTAAACTTTGCTAGGTGAACGTTTAATGGTTACTTTAGGCAGTCATATACATAAAAGATAGTCTAATTTTTCAAAATAATACCTTTTATCTTATGCAAAGGTAAATCATGATACCTAACTAGACCAAATGTACTTAGAGATAGAATTTCATAAAAGAAAACTATAGCACCATTTGAATAATCAATATATATTATACACATTTACATTTAGGCCATGGATGTCTAAAAGGTCACAAAATGCCACTGAACTTTAAATAATTTATCCTTCATATTCATAATTAATTTAAATATAATTTTATTATAATAATTTATTTAACTAAAAATCTGTATGCTTAATTTAAATGAAACTAATTCTTCCAAAAAGGACTGCTATTATAAAAAATGCTATTATTTGAAATAGCTCAAATTTTCCATTTCAACTTTATAGTGAATAACAAAATTTATTTTATAACCATAAAAGTGAACATTTTTCACAAGCCTTATCTAATTCTATCACTTTCACATTCAGAAGTTGATATTTTAGTTTCTAAGAAGGTCAGACTTCTATAAACATTACATGATAACCCAAAATGTGAGTTGGGGATTTAAACATCTTGAGCTAAAAATACCTTAACTGGATTAAAGTTTAGACTCATTGGGAATGGGTTTTCTAATGACAAAATCCTAGGTTACTTTTCTAGCTCTTGAATTAGGCTGCTTCTCCTGGACCCACCCTGAGAGTTTGGTAACTGATATAAAACATGAAACAGTCTGTGTCCTGTGCTTTCTACCAATTATCCATAACATAGACCTCAAACCTTGGTTTCCAAAGAGCTGGCCTCTGAACAGCAGCATCCCTGGGTAGAGAATGGACTAAATGGAACTGACGGTAATGTATCTTCTCATCTCCCTTCCCACTCAGAGCCTACCGTCACTATTGTCATGGGACATATTATCCTGCTACTTGATACACTCATTTCTGCAAAAAACTATCTATTCATACTTGGACTTCCTGGTCTCAAAATGCACAAAGCATGTATAACAGATGATAGCAAAACCTCCTACAAGTGAAGTCTTTATCTAAATTTTTTATGCATCAAAACTCATCTGGATCAACATCATCATCAAAGAAATTGGATTATTGGGTTATTGGTATGTTTGGCAATATTTGTGTTGAACTGGCTCAAGACTAGGGGTGATTTCACTGCAAACTTATTTATAAAAGTCATCTACAATAGCTTTATCAATTAATTTTAAGGATTGCATCTTTTCATCTTGTGTTTTGTGAAGTGAGGTCAAGATGTGTTTTGCAAAACATGGCCATGAAGACTAGGGTCACAGAGTGGCCAAGAGTGCACTTACGTGAGTAGAAAACAGGTAATAATAGAAACTGAAGGGGTTGAAAAAGGGAAACAGAATAATGGGAATAAGTAGAGCTGGATATTGAGATATCGGAGTAGAGAAGTGAACAGGGTGATTGGTTTAAAGACTCTCCTTTGTAAGAATTCATAAATACATTGGATCTTAGGGAAATAAGATATCATTAAAAGCACATTACAACAATCACTCATGTAAAGAAGGAATATTTTTCAATATCCCAATGGCAGCCTAAAGTTACTGTCTTTTTTCCCCCTGGTTTACATATACAACTATCTTATAAAGTGTCATTTTTTTCTAATTATGCTTTGAAAAAAGTTTTTTTAATAAGGAAATTGTCTGATTCAAAAATGAAAAAAGCTGTTAAAATTTAAGAAACACCCTAATCGATTATATTTTATTAAATAGTAACATAGAAATAAGTTGCTGCCTTATAAAATAAAGCAAATTACAACCCATGGGGTAAAAATAATGCTTTTCCTTTATGCTTTAATCTCATTTTCATTATTTTCTTTCAGATTATTCAGCTCTGTCCAATGTCAAAGGCATTGCATGGCAAAAAAGAAAACAACCAAAGGAAAAAACTCTACACGGATCTCATTCCCCCTCCAACGGTCAGTTAAACATCAGACCTCGGTACTATTTTTTATTATTTATTCTCTGTAGAAATCCAGTAATTTTCCTTTCATCTTGTTTCTAGGAGAAGTGATTTATGCCGTCATGTGCATGACAGTCACCTGTGGAATCCTTCTCGTGGTTTTGTTCAAGCTGAGGTAACAGAATACAGCCCAGAAGGGAAGGGCTGGAAGTGAATCAGCCCTGTTAAAACACACTTCACCCTGGCAGAGCTCACACAGGGCCCGGGAATGAAAGTTTCTCCATTAAGACCTACTAAATCAACATTTAATGTGGGCTGGGTCCATGGAAACGTTACTCTCAGTCATCGTATGTAAGGGAAATGTGATCATAAGGGAATTTTTTAGCGTGCATTTTACAAACGCATATGTATTGTTCTCCCAATTAAAGTGTTATCAATCTTTTCCTTGGTTTTCTTATGAAATCCAAATTGAACTTTGCTGCCTTCCTGCTTCAAATCATTTGCAAGATTAATCAGCTTACATAATGGACCTGTTGTGTACTTCACACAGTTTATATTTACCTAAAGGTGTGCTCTTCAGTCACATTTCTTACATGCTAATGTATTTTATTCATGTTTTAATATGCAAGCATCCAGGTCTGTATAATTGGAGGCCTCACAGGGTACCATTAGGAAGACATTACTTCAGCCTGACATTTTAATTCACT